GCTGGCCCATTGAAAGCACTGAATAACTATCAGTCATTTTGTTTCTTTGTCTGAATATCTTTTCTGGCTTTGTAGCATTGCTCTGGATTTTTCTTATTATTTTTATATTTCTTCTGGCATTTTAGTAGGATTTTATTTTTTAATATGTTTTTATTGATTTCAGAGAGGAAGAGAGAGTGAGAGATAGAAACATCAACGATGAGAGAGAGAATCACTGATCAGCTGCTCCCTGACATCTCCTATTGGGGATTGAGCCCACAACTTGGGCATATGCCATTGGAATCAAACCAGAGACCCTTTAGTCCTCAGGCTGACACTCAATCCACTGAGCCAAACCAGGTAGGGCTAGTGGGATTTTAGAAGGAAGATGAGATTAAACACACTGACTCAGTTCATCACCTTGAACTGAAAATGAGCGCTTGCATTTGAAAATAATAAAAATGAACATTCTAGGTTGTTAATTTTCTGCCATTTTGAATTTCACATTCTTTTGATTTGCTTAGAGTAGCACAGATATAAGAAACCTTAGAGATCATCTAATAGAGCTCTCTCACTTTAAAACTGAGCAAAGAAATGAGAAATAACTTCCCTAAAGTAGCAAATCTTTCTAGGGGAAGATCTTATACAAGAATCGAGATCTCTTGCCTCCTAGTCAAATTCTCCTACCACTAACAATAAGTAAATAAATATCTACCATAGGTGCCAAGGTTTTACATTTCATATGTCTGTGCCCATCCAATGCTCATTTCCTCCTATTTAAAGCCAATCCTTCCACCTGTACGTTGATCCCATCCTCTCCTTCTACTTTCTCCAGAATTTTATATTAGTAATAATTCCTTCTTTTTTGTAGTATATTCAACCTATTGTTCTTAACTGGATTATTTCCATTGGCCTTTAATCATGTTGAAACTATTACTTTAAGAAAAAGGATAGTGACAATTTGGGGGTGGGTGTATAGGGGCTGGGAAGAGGGAGGTAAAGGGGGGGTAAAATGGGATATATCTGTAATACTATCAACAGTAAAAATATATATATTAAAAAAAGAAAAAGGAAGAGCAAACTCATTTGACCCTCCATACTCCCACTACCAGATTCTGCTCTGTCTTTTCACAGTCTTTCATCTCCAAACCCTTGCAAAGTACTCTCCATCCAGTGATGGTGAACCTGACACGCGTGTCAGAGGTGACACGCGAACTCATTTTTTTGGTTTATTTTTCTTTGTTAAATGGCATTTAAATATATAAAATAAATATCAAAAATATAAATCTTTGTTTTACTATGGTTGCAAATATAAAAAAAATTTCTATATGTGACACGGCACCAGAGTTAAGTTAGGGTTTTTCAAAATGCTGACATGCCGAGCTCAAAAGGTTCGCCATCACTGCTCCATACTGTCAGTGCTTTCCTCTTCTTTCATCGCACTTGACCTCCATGATACTAAACCCAACAGAAATTTTTTAGGCATCAGGTTCTCCTACTTCTCAGCAGCATTTGACCCTTGTGACGAGCTCCACCATCTTGAAACATGTTCTTCTTTGGGCATTAGTTTACAAACACTCTCCTGATTTTTATCCCACCTCTTTGCCCATTTTTTCTCAGTAATGTTTGCTGGCTCATCATTTCCACCTAGGCAGTAAATGCTGTGGTTACACAAGGCTTGGTATTAGTTCTTCTTTTTGTCTCATTCTCTACTCTTCCTGGGTGAGTTACAGCACAAGGCTTCAATAACCATCTGTGTACCATCAGCCCCCAGATTTATATATCCAACTCAGATCTCTCCACTGAAAAATGTAATCTCTCTCTCTTTTTTAATAATCCTCAACTGAGGATATTTTTCCATTGATTTTTAGAGAGAGTAGAAGAAAGAAGGAAAGACAGAGAGAAATATAAATGTGAGAGAAACACACCAATTGGTTGCCTCCTGCATGAACCAGGACCAAGGCCCAGGCTGGGAGTGGGAGAGCCTGCAACCAAGGTTTGTGCCCTTGACTAGAATCAAATCTAGGATCTTTCAGTCCACAGGCCAACACTTTATCCACTGAACCAAACTGGCTAGGGCTCATCTCTTCTTAGATGACTCAAAGACTCCTCAAAATCAACATATTCAAACAGAAATCTTTATTTACTAAAGATGACACTCTTGAAATGTTTCATAGCTCAGTGAAAGTCACACTCATCAATCAGGTTATACAACCCCCAAACCTAGGACTAACTTTGATATTACTCATTTCTTATATCAATTCCATACCAAATCTATTGATTTTTTTTCTTACTACATCTTAAATCCATCCACTTCCCTCTACTTCCACCTCCTTCCTCCAATCCCTATATGCTGCTACCATCATCTCCCCACTAAGTGAATACCCCTCTAACTAGTCTATTCACATCTACTTGCTCTCTCAATCCTTGGTTTATACTGCAGCCAGATTGATGTTTTCAAAATGTACATCTGATTATGTCACTTTCCTCACCCTCCCCTTCCCCACACTCCTCAAACGTATCTCTAAAACACTGTAAAAGCTTCTTGTTCTTAGGAAAAAGACAAAATTCCTTCATAGGGCCTACAAAGCCCTGTTTCCTCTGGCCTCTGCCTACTTCTTCAGCTCATCTTGTACCATATTCCCTCCCACAGTTGCCATTCTAAATGCATATGGCTTCATTTTTTCTTATTTGAACATAATTATCAGACACCTCCTACCACAGGGCTTTTGCACAGTTGGTTTCCTCAGCTGGGAACACTCATCCCTCTCTTCTTTGCTTGGTTAACTCCTTCTAGGCCTTTCAGATATCAGCCCAAGCATTATTTCCACAGGGAAGACTTTGGGTGAAGTCATGTATCCTTATCAGAGCTCTACTATTACCAGATATTGATTTATTACCATTGCAGTTGTACATTTGTATGAATACTTCAGTAATTTCTCTCTTCACCACTACACATTCATTCACTCAACAAATATTTACCAAACCCCTTACTATATTCCAGGCATTATTTTAGAAAGTTCGACAAACTGTAAAAAATAAGCAATATGACATCAAGAGGTGAAAAGTGCTATGAGGAAGTAAAAAGAGGTAAAAAGATTTGAATGAAGCGAGAGAGCAAGTCCTGAGGATGTCTGAGGTGGTGGTGGTGAGAATTTCAGGGAGAGAAAATAGAGAGGGTAAAGACAAGAGGGTATTTAACCTGTTTGAGGAACAGCCAGGAATTCAGTGGGGCTGGAGTGGAGCAAAGGGGAGAGTGGTAAGAGATTAGACAGAGAGTGAGGGGCCAGATCACTCAGGGTGGTGTAGCCATGAGACAGGGAAAGATGTCATTGGAAGCTTTTAAACAAGGAATTCCTGAAGTCAAATGCCCTACCTCTGAGCTGTACTTAATAATATTGTATTGTATATTTGAAAGCTGCTAAGAGAGTAGATCTTAAAAATTCTTCTCATCACAACAAAAACATTATAACTACGTATGGTGACAGACATTGACTTACTGTGGTGATCATTTTGCAATATATACAAATACTGAATGATTATGTTGTACACCTGAAACTAATATAATGTTATATGTCAATTTTATCTCCATTTTACAATATCTATCACACAGGGGAAAAACAAGGAGTGATTGACATAATTCTATGCCTGTTCTAAAATTATCTCTGTGACTGTTTGGAGGTGAATGGATTGGAGAGAGCTAAGGGTGGAAGTAAATCCAGCTGAGGCTGTGGCAGTGGTTCTGGGGAGAAATAATGGGGACTTGGACTAGGGTAAGCATGGTGAGAAAGAACAGATTGGAGTGTGTTTTGAAGGTAGAGCTTTCAGGATTTCGATGTGTTTCTCAGTGGGTTTAGAAAAGTCAAAAGGCTTAACCTGGCTGATGAGACCCTATATGATCTGCACCGCCCCCCCCCGCCCCCGCTGCCCCCTGTCTCCCCCTTAGCTACCTTCTCTCCAGCAACATGGGCCTTCTAGCTCTTCTGTGAAGAGACCAAGCATGATCCCACCTTTTGCATTTGATGTTCCCTCAAATGTCAGAAAGCAGGTATCAACATGGTTTCCCTGCCCTCCCACCACCGCCCAGGGTTCTGCTCAAATTTCTTCTTATCAGAAAGCCCTTGACCACCCTATATAATTTATCACCTCACCCCTGCATTCTGAATTTTCCTGATTAATTTCTCTTTGTAATACTTATTGCCACCCCATATATACATGTAATATACATACGTATATGTACATACAAACATGTAACGTGTCTATATTTATTCCACGAAGGCAGAGATGTGGTCTGTTTTGTTCACTCTAGAACAGAACTCCCAGAATAGTGCCTGGCACACAGGTATTTAATAAATAATTGTTAAATTAATATTGTTAAAACAGAGAATGAGGGGAGCAAAGAGTGGCTTCAGGGTTTGGAGCCTGAATGATGGTGCCACTTCCCGAAGTAATATTGAAGATTTTTCAAAATGAGGATTGGGACCCCCTGCTCCAAACTTACAGCTGGAGTCCCTGAACTGCTTCATCTATTGCAGGTTCAGCAATGTCCTGACTTCCTCTCGGACCCACTGAAACCTGTGACAAATCTAGAATCCTGGGGGTCTGGGCTCTTCTCTTACCAGAGGGAAAGAGGGAGAAAATAGTGATAAATTAAACTGACTCTCTCAATTCCTGAGACTCAAAATGACATCAGTTTGATCCAAGCCTCACAACTGATGCTTCAGATGTTATTGACTCTGTGTGTGGTTTCCTGGCAAACAATTGGCTGCCTACTTTAAGAGACAATATCGCTAAGTGCTTTTTTTTTCATGCAAAAGAAAGAAATAAAAAAGAGCTACCTATTTTCCTCATTCCTGCAGGTGCCCAACCCGATTGACTTGTTGGAGTGCATTTTCTGCATTCTTAATAGATAGCTAGCAGGAAATGCCTTTTATAGCCCCACTAGAGTGGCAGAGAGCAGCAAGGGGTGGATACAAAATCCCCAGCCCCTGCTTCCGCAAGCACTAAGCTGCTCTAAAGAGGGCCAGGCATCAAAACGCACCTCTGACCAGCCATAGTTTGGCATCTGCATCTTGCTCTGGCTCAGCTGATGGTCAGGAATTAAGGTAGGAGAAGCTGGGGACTTTTTTAGTTGTGTGTTGTTTTGTTTGTTTGTTTTTTTTTTTTTTTTGTGTTTTTTTTTTTGTGTGTGTGTGTGTGTGTGGAGGAGGGATGGAAATTCAAATGGAAAGGAATGGGACACGGGAGTAAGAGGGTAGGGAGCTGTGAGCATCATAAGCTTTTTTCAACGAGATACAATCTAGCCCTTTTGGGGCTTTTATTCCAAGTGATCCAAAGTCTCTGACTCCCTACTCCACCTCTGGTGCTGGGTACCGGTTTGCAGAAGGATGGTAAGTGTGTCCGTGCATGCAGACTGTGGTAGAGTTGAGGCCAAACAGCTGGTATGGGATTCCATGTTAAAACATTTGTGCAGAGGATTGGGCAATATTTTGAGGTCTAGTTGAACACTTGGTGTCTGTATATTTTGTGTATTGGGGAAATTGTAAGCTAGGTGTACTTTTGTAACTTTGCTGTTCTCACTGCACAGCTGGCAAAGCTTGGCCTTGGGGTTTTGTTTGCAAGAGGATTTTACTACAAGCCAGGTACTTATACAGAAAATCTTCTCTAGGAAAGTCCCCATCCTTTCTCCTGCTTCACTGATATCCCCTCAGTTCCCGCTTTGCAGCATCCATTTCTAAGCAAGACCCATCCTGACCAATTCACTCATTAATAGAGACCCCTCACAGAAGGCTCATTGGAGGATGAAACTGCTCAAGTTTCTCCAAAGATGCACTTCTTAAAAAGATTAAGTCATGTAGCAGTTCTCTGAATTTCAACATCTCTCGAATACAGATCCTGTCCATTGCGATCCAAGTGCAGCCCAGAGAACTGTTTGTGAGCTGGATAGAGAAAAGTCACTCATGGCATTTCTTTGAAAGCATGTCAGTGTTTTGGGGAGGAACAGAGGGATAGAGGGTGTACTTGTGGTTTATTCAGGATCCCCAGTTCTAGGGTCTGAGCCCTTCAAGATGATAAAGCTGAGATGTTGACTTTTTCTATCTCTACCCTTTCCTGCCTGTGGCCAGGTGGCCTGTGGTCTCTTCCCAAGGAGAGTACGTGCTTTAGGGTCCTGAGGTCCCACGGGTCAAGCCAGCAGTTTCTCTCATGGTTTCAGGGAGACTTGGCAAAGATAGAAAGCAAGCTGTATCAAGCCTTAGCCTGGAGCAGTGGCCACAGGCAGTTCGGAGATTAAGAGTCCTACAAAGGTGCTAAGCGGCTCTTGAAGGGAGGCTTCAAAGAGAAGCCCGGAGGGAGGAGGGAGTACGTGAATGTTCTGCCCGCATTCTGTAAAAGAAACCAGATGGCTGGGTTAAGATCTTAGATCAAGGTCCTCTAGATATTAAAGTCCAAGCCCTCACCTTTGGTAGATGGGGAGACTGAGGCCCACAGAGGGAAAAGGACTATTAGTTCAACCAGGTAGACCAGGGGTCCTCAAACTTTTTAAACAGGGGGCCAGTTCACTGTCCCTCAGACCGTTGGAGGGCCGGACTATAGTTTTAAAAAAAAACTATGAACAAATTCCTATGCACACTGCACATATCTTATTTTGAAGTAAAAAAAACAAAAACGGGAACAAATACAATATTTGTATTTGCATGTGGCCCGCGGGCCGTAGTTTGAGGACCCCTGCGGTAGACAGTAAGCGACAATGGAAAAAGGACAGACATTGAAGCTAGAGTGACATGGGTTTAAATCCCAATTCAGCTACTACCTAGCTGTGTGGCTGGGGCAGTTTATTCACATTCTCTAAGCCCCTATTTGCTCACCTATAAAATGGGAATAATGATAGCGACTATGAGGGTTGTAAAGATTGGAGAAAATATGTATGTTTCTGTCACAAAGTAGGTATTCTGTAAACTGTAGCTTTAGAAAAAGTGCTGCCTCCACATTTATTATTTATAATTCACAACACCTTTGCTTTACTTAATTTTTTGAAATATATTTGACATTATATTATGTGACTTTACATGTTACATGTACAACATGTTAATTTGATAAATTTATATATTATATATGATTACCATGGTTTCCACAATTAACACCACTCATGTTTTATAATTATCCTTTTTAGTAGTTGGAATAATTAAGCTCTAGTCTCTAGCAGTTTTGATGATGATAATGTAGCATTGTCTATATTAACTGTACTGTACACTAGATCTTAAGGACTTATACACAACTTGTTGTAGATTTGTACCCTTAAACAACACCTGTTCCTGTTCTCTGGTCACCACCATCTTATTTTCTGTTTTTACAAGTTTGGCTTTTTAAAATTCCACATCTAAGTGATAACATGCAGTACTTGTCTTTCTCTAACTTATCTCATAATGTGCTCAAGGATAATACCTTTGCTTTTTTTCTACAACTCTGGGTTATCTCATAATGTGCTCAAGGATAATACCTTTGCTTTTTTTCTACAACTCTGGGTATGTGAATATATCATGTGCTTTGTCACTGAGGAATAATTTAGCTACAGCAAAATTCACAAATCTTAAGTGCTCAATCTGATGATTTTTGACAAATGTATACATCCATGTATAATCTTCACCCTCGACAAGATGTAGGACATTCCCAGCACCCCTGAGAGTTTCCTCCTGCCTTTTCCTAATCTCTACCTTACAGGTAACCACTTTTCTGACCTCTATAACCAGAGTTTGTGCCTATTCCATGTAAGTGGACTCATATAAGGTGTTCCTTTGTGTCCATCTTTATTTCACTCAACACGTTTTTGTGATTATTCCATGATGTTGTGTGGATTGGTAGTTTGCTCCTTGTGGTGAGCCGGCACAGCCATGGCATACTCAGCCCCAGGGCGCCTTATGTGCCATGCCAGCTCAGCCTGGTTCAGTGATCCTGAGTGGGGGGGTGAAAGGATTGAGAAAAGACAGACAAGAGAATGAAAGCTGGGTCTCGGTGGGACACTGCTCCCTGATGAGGAGACAGCGCCAGCACCCACAAGCCGTGTCTTTATTTTATAGCAGATGCCACGAGGCAAAGTAGGGGCGTGATCACGTTGTTTACAGCATTCTTATGAGTTCCAACCTCACTCAACTACATGCACCTGAACTCTACCACAAGGCACGTGGGGCTACGTGTTCGGACCATAGGTTCAAGCTTAATTGTGCTGGGAGGGCCCTGCCTTCCAGCTGGGACTTGCACGTGGCAATGAGAGGACCCTGTCCTTTCATTTGTCCGAGGTTTGAACCTGGCCAAAACACTGTAGCTGCACCCCATATCTCCCCCTTTACTTTTGTTTTTAAACACGCCTATTTACATTATCAAAAAAACTCTAAATAAATTATTCAAAACATCACAGCAAACTTCTGGCTATTAGCAAAACTATAAACAGCAATGTTACCAAGAGAACAAAACTCTGGCTAATAACAAAGCAATACCAATGCAAAATCAAACTACAAACATATCAACATTCTCAGGACATTCCACCCAGAGTCCTTAGATTTTAGCTCCGCAAGATTTTACAGAAAACTGACAGTTCACCAATGTTAGCACAACTTCCACTTGCTTTCTTAACATTTGCTTGGCCTCAGTCGCCATCTTCTTCAGCTGACTCCATGTTGATACCTCGGTCACTAGCGTAGTAAGATGCCGCTGATGCAAAGATGTCTTGATGCAAAACTAGACCCCTGGATCACGCTGTTTGGATGGTTGACCTCGACACTGAGTCTGCACCAGTCCCAGTCAAATCAGCCCTGTCCACGCCGGTGGAAGTCTGGTCCCTTCTCAGCTTCTTTCTTTAGCCGCTGCTGCATGGAAATGAGTAACCTTCGGTAGCTGGAGACTTCCAACTCTGAGTCTGGGGTCTCACATGGACCCAAAGTCCTAGGGAGCTATCAGGTTGCACAAGCAAAGATAACCAAAGCCTAGAAACAATGCAACTGCTGCAAGAGCTTACAATCTAGGTCTAAAACAAAAATTATTTCCTTAAACATCAACCACCACAGCCATCTGCTGCTTTACAGTGGCTTAAACAAAACCTAGGAGATTTCTACCTTATTTTATATCTTCCTATTCACTTATTTTCTACCGCTTATTTTCTACTACTTATTTCTACTTATTTCTCTATTCCTACAGCTTATTTCTACCACTTATTTCTCTTCTACAGCTTATTTTTACCGCTTGTTTTCTACTTATTTCTCTATTTCTACCACTTATTTCTACATTCCTACAGCTTATTTCTAACACTTATTTCTACCGCTTATTTCTACTTATTTCTCTATTTCTCCAGCTTATTTCCTACCACTTATTTTTTGCTTATTTCTCTACCTCTAACTATGAACTATAGGTCGGCTTGGCTGCTTTTGCCCAAACCTTTCCTGGGTTGCAACCCCTGCTTATTTCTACATTTCTACAGCTTATTTCTACTTATTTTCTACTGCTACCACTTATTTTCTACTTCTTATTTCTATATTCCTACAACTTATTTCCTACTCTCTATTTCTACGGCTTATTTTCTACTGCTTACATTCTACAGCTTATTTCTTATTTCTACCTTAGAAATTTAAAAATGCTCCAATAAGCATTGTTTTTAGCCTTACTTTCTGCTTTTAGCTTAACTTTCAGCTTTTAGCGTAACTTTCTGCTTTTAGCTTTACTTCTTATTTTCTTATTTTTGTTTCTTTAAGCTTACTCTCTGTGCGCGCCTTGGAGCCTCCTTTCACCTGACCTCTTTTAAATTTCCCCTGAACTCAGTCCCTGGTCTGAAGCCACTTCTTACAGCCAAAACTCAGGCCTTGGTGATCCTGAGCAGGGGGATGAAAGGATTGAGAAAAGACACACTTCGGCTCCCTACCTTATTTTTGTTTTTAGGCCTTCTTATCATACTTTTGCTTTTTAAACTTACTCTCTATTTCTACCGCTTATTTCTTACAGCTTATTTCCTGAGTTTCCCAAGTTTTACACTGAGCTAATATTACCACACTTCGGCTCCCTACCTTACTTTGTTTTTTGGCCTTCTTACTTTTGCTTTTTAAGCTTACTTTCTTATTTTCTTAGTTTTGTTTTTTAAGCTTACTCATTGCGCGCTTTGGAGCCTCCTTTCACCTGACCACCTTTTTTTATCTCCCCCGAACTCAGTCCCTGGTCGAGCACCATATGTTGCGGCCAAAGGGCCTGCTCTGGCGCTACTTGTTACGGCCAAGCTCAGTCCCTGGTCAGTCCCTGGTCGCAGAACTCAGTCCCTTGGTCAGACGCCAGCTCCTTTTATTATTGAATAACATTCCATTGTGTGAAAATGCCACAGCTAGTTTATTTGTTCTCTTGTTGACAGAGATTGGGTTGTTTTCACTTTGGGGCTATTTAAATAAAGTCACTATGAACATTCACATACAAGTCTTTGTGCGGACATATATCTGCACTTTTGATTATATGTACCTAGAAGTGGGATTGCTGGGTCATGTAGTATGGGTATGTTTAACTTTATATAAAAAACTACCAAACATTTTTTTTTCAAAGCAGTTGTCCACATGTTTTTTGAAATAATGATACAATGGATTCATTTTTCAAGTAGTTCCTGATTATACTTAGTGTGTCTGTCAACCAGGGGGAATAGATTGATGTCCTCAATCAAAGGCTTCTGTAGACAATATAGTCTGGTTATGACTGGGGCTAAAGTGATTCTGAAAGGAGAATTCTTTATAAAGCGTCCCCCGCTGACTGCCAGATTCCTTCCTAATGTCCCCATCATAATCTGTTGACACTTCTAGCAAAACCATAAAAGAATAATCTGCAGAATTCATATACTACAATCTCTTCATTTTACCCAAGAGGAACCTGAAGCCCAGAGAGGCCATGTGATTTCCCAAAAGTCAACCCCAGATCCTCTGACTCCTCTAATTGATATGATTTCCTTGCATTGTGCTGTCTCTGCATGAAATGGCATTCAGCCATTGTTCAATGAATACCTATACTGTGCTAGGTGTTAGGGTTAAAGAAATGAATAAGAAAAAGTACCATCCTAAAAGATCTTATAAACAGGACTATTCAACTATCCTCATTTCAGTATATTCACAAGAATGAATATATTAAAGGTGTCTTTAGCCTGAGCACAAGAGTGGCCAATGGTAAAGAAGCAATCCGATGAGCTACTTCCCCAGTTAAAGAAAGGCCACAGCATGTCTTGATTGCCTGTTCTGTGCCATTTACTGGCCTGAATGCAAAAGGACAGCCTCTGCCCTCCAGAAGTTCAAGGTAGAATACAATGATAGAGGCCAAGCTTAAGACAATTCAGTAAACAGTTCTTGAACATCTGCTCTATTTCAGGCCCTGATCTAGGTGCAGAAGATATGGTGGTGAGCAGAGCTGGCAATCTTTCAGATTTGCAAGAAGTGTGTGTGTGTGTGTGTGTGTGTGGTGTGTTTTGAGATTTGCATTTGGTTCAGAATATAGCTTTATGGAGGCCTTATGACTGGAGTGGTTTGTAATTGCTAGTTTCTAAGATTGGGATGGGGTGGGTGGGTGAAGGCCACCATCATACATAGATTTTGGTATCAGGAGGAGTGGGAGAATTTGATGTGTTTTATTCTCTCGTATGGAAGTAGTCAAGATGGAAAGCAATGCTTACTATGACTATTGAAATTGTCAATACACACTGGATTGCTTAGTCAGGGAACCTCATCCCTTTTTCCAGGAGGATCATGTAGTTCTGGGAGGAGGAAGGCACTTCCCCAGAAAGCAAGTAACCTCATGATTTGGCCTCATTATTATTATTTTCTTTCATTTCCTAATGCTCTTCTAGTCATGTTGCCAGAAAATTCTTCTTATTTGTAAGAAAGGGCCCCTTCAGTTGTTTCCTAAACACTGATCAGATCAGGCTCCTCAGCTGGTCCTCAGATCAGCACAGTGTGGTTGTTGAACTTGTACTTCGTAGGAGCTAACTTCTTGCCCCCCAAGGATACTGCTCATCCAAACTATAGCCAAGCCACTTGGAAAATAGTACCAGTAATATTTCTCATTTGATCTGCAGCTATTACCTGTATCACAATGGAAGAGATGATACAGAAGCCTATAAAGACTGAGTGGAATTCTCGGTGTGTCATTTTCACCTATTTTCAAGGGGACATCGGCAGCGTAGTGGATGAACACTTCTCCAGAGCTCTGAGCAATATCAGGAGCCCCCAGGAATTGAGCCCCGTCAGCCAGAGTGGAGATGTGATCCTGAAGAATGGTAAGCATGTTGTGGGGGAATAGGCTGGAACTTCCAATCGAGGCTATCACTGAAAGATAGTTCTCTGATTCTCTTAATGCACATACATATGTATATATTTGCTGAAGGCAAGCCATATTGTCAGAAGGATGCTGCCACCCCCTTCTTAGAAGTTTAATGTGATAATGGACACTGTTTAATCAAATTAGTTCACCTATTTCACTGTTTCCTCAATTGTGTCAAGTGCTGGGTGGATTAACTACTCGATACACAATAAGAGCACCGTAACTGTTTGCTATTATTACCTTTACCAGTATTATTATTATTATTATTATTATTATTATTATTATTATTATTATTTCTACTACTGCTGGCCTCACAGGGGCAGGATGACCAAAATATTCACAATATAAAAAAGCATGTCCCATATAGGTACACCCAGACTCCTCTCTAGTAATAGTGGATGATCTGATGGTCAGGGAAAGGGCCAGAGAGAGGTAGATGGAACCTTACCACATCCCTCTTTGCACTCTTAACAGTATCAGGGGTGTCTATTGCATTAACTATTTAGTAATTATTTTTAAATATACATTCTTATATCTCAAAACAATTATTTCAAGAGCTGTGTAAAAAATGTGCTCATCAAAATATCTAGGTTTGGAGAAAGCCATAAATAAGCTGGCAAGCCCTGCAGTATGGCTTTTATGGACCCTGGACACTTTGCTTCATAGGCACATTCCTCTGTAAAGATATGAAAAAGGACATTTTTTCCTAAAATGGCATAAAAGCAAATATAATCTAGGATGCATTCATTTCATATATTCATTATAATTATTATATTTATTTTTTCTTACAATTTTAAAGGCAGTTAAAATATTTTCATGGGCTCCTAAAAGTATTCATGGGCCCTAGACACTGTACCAGCTGTGCCTAATGGAGAAGTCACCCTGCTAGATGAATGTGATTTGATAGGGCTCTTTATCACCTTTTTGAAATGTGCAAATAGACCAGGGTCTGATTGATTTTTTAAAAATATGTTTTTATAGATTTTTAGAGAGAGAGGAAGGGAGAGGGAGAGAGAGAAAAACATCTGGCCCTGACCTGTCACCTTTTGGTGCATGGGATGATGCTCAACCAACTGAGCTATGCCAGCCAGGGCAGGCCTGATTGATTTAAGAGCTCTTCATTGCAGTTGCTGAGCGCACATTGAATGCCTTGCTCCCACTGGAAGATGTACATGCCTCCAAATTGGACACTTTGTGCAAAGTGGCCATGCAGGTCCTCTTTGCACAACCCGAGATAAAACATAGGAAGAGCTCCTGAACCTATGTTGTTAGAAGATAGGAGATGGGTTACTTTTGGGGATGGGGGTTGCTTTTGGGGATGGGGGCTAGTGACTGGATGTGGGCACGAGGAGGGCTTCTGGGATGGCGATCACGTTCTGTTTCTTGATCTAGGTGCTCATTACTCAGTTCGTGAAAATTCCCAAGCTGTACACTTTATTTGTAAATTTTTCTGCATGTGTGTTTTACTTCACAAAACCACTTTACAGTAGATTTCTATATCCTCACAGAATAGGAAACTGCAGGGTAAATGACATGGTGCATCACACATATGAGTGATAGACTGAAACCCAGGTCAGTCAGACTCCAGAGCCAATCTCTTGACTACTTCACTGTCCTTCCTTTGTAGACTCTGACAACACCCTGGCAAGAGAGTTAATAATGCCCATAAGAACTATAGCTAATACTGTTTATAATGGCTAACATTTACTGAGCACATACTTTCTGTGAGTGAGACCTCTTGTTAGGGGTGTCACATGGATGATCTCATTGAATCCTCATACCAACTTACTGGTTAACTCTCACTGTGTCCATTTCATGGTAAAGAAACTGAGGCTCAAAGAGTCCAGGATCCCACAGCTAGAAAGGGGCAGCCATTCACAAGCAAATCAGTTTGATTGCAGATTTTGAGCTCTTAGCCACTTTCTGTATTTCACATGTTCTGTATTTCATCTCCATTTTCAGTTGGGAAAAGGAATCTGGGTAAATCACCAAAACACTAGGTATCTCAGGGAAGTGATTGTGAAATATGGTGAGGGACTGAACAGTACCCCACCCCCACTCCCAGTGCCCAAGAACAGGACTGTCTCCTATAAGTTGTCCCTCTGTCTCTGGTATCATTTTTATCTTAGCTAATACAAACAATATAATGCAAAGAAGGCAGAGAGGAGAGAGTCAATGTGTGCAGATTGGGCAGGCCAAAGTTTGGACTTTCATGGTATAAGATGTGGGTGTGTGTTCTGAGGGATCTCAGTTTCAATGTAATCACAAAGCAAGATTTGTATTAAAGGTAGAGACAGAGAGAGGGAAAGAAAGAAAGAAAGAAGAAAGGATGGATGGAAGGGAATCCGGCATTTATGTGTTGGTCTTATCATAATTATGACCCAGAGTCACTGAGTCAAGAGGTTTTTACTTTAAAATAACTTTTTCTAACCACAAAAATAATGTGTTAATTTTTGAAGAATTTATAAAACACGGGTAAGCAATTAGGGCACAAAACCACGTGTGCATCTATGCACACATACTAAGTTTTACAACATAACATTATTTTGCACAAAATGGGTTGTAACTTTTTTCAATCGACAATAGTCATATATCTCTCTCTATGCCATTATATGTTCTACTACAACATCGAGAATATCCTCCTTATAGACATACCAAATCTATTAAAAGTTTTAGACATTTAGGTTATTGCCAATCTTTAACTGTATTATAAATGTCACTTTGAATCATTGTAGCTAAATTTATACATGCATCATTGATGTGAAATGTTAGGCAGAATGTCTGTGCCTTGTAGGTTAGGGCTTTTTTGCTCTTACATCTCTATGACATCGAAAAGCTAGGGTGGTGGGTGGGAGCACTCCAGTATCACTGGGTAGACCTCTCAGATGTTTTTATCTTGTACAGAATCCAGGCAAACTGACCATTCAGAAGAACTGAGAGGCACATGTGGAGGGAAAAGAGACCAGACAGCCTCTCCAGCCTTCCAATCTTCCTCTGTCTCTACACCCATGCCCCCTTCATCATCTTGGATAGTTGAGAGGTTCCAAGCTTTAAGTATCTGCTAAAACTCTCTCTTCTTCCCCTTTTGCTTGAATGGGTGTTGAGAATAGAGAAAACATCCATCATGAAACATCCATGTCATGAACTATCCTGGACTTCTTGAGAACTCAAATTCTGCTGCTATTTATAGGTACAATTAGAATTAGTGTTTCTGAGACCAACGGAGTCTCCATCCTCATTAGTTAGTCCGCAAGAAGAAACTAAGTTATTGCTTGATCTTGAATGCTTTGCTTATGTAGGAAGAGGTCCAAACAACCATTTCCCTACCCCATCACTTATCACTCCAGCTTAGATCCCTACATGGCTAATCTGCTTTGCTAACTTGGTCCAGTCTCCTAACATCCCCATGCCCCAAATTCCTCTTGAAAATGGGGTTTCAACCCCTAGATTTGTATAAGTGATGGGCACAGGCAAGTGTTACACCCCTTATAAAGTTCAGTGGAGTCTTCATAGTCTGTGTACTTAAAGGATCAGCTATAAAATAAAGCCAAAAAACAGCAACAACCACCCACAAATCACCTTTAATCAAGCAATCCTTCAAAAGTTTCCCTGAGGGGCTAGTTGGACAAGGATGCAAAAATGTATATACAAAGGTGTTCATCACAATGTTGTTAATAAACAAAATTGCAGATAACTGAGTTTCTCACAAATACAATGTTTGCTAGTCAAGTTACTACCTAATGATAGAATACTGTGCAGCCATTTAAAAAGCTGGTGTTGTCTCCATTCATGTCTATGAGGGATATTTGTAGTATTTTAATGATGTGAAAGCAGCCTTAAAAACAATATGTGATGTGAAAACAATGCATCCTTGGCCAGGTAGCTCAGTTAGTTAGAATGCCATCCCAATATGCCAAGGTTGTGGTTTGATCCCCAGTCAGGGCACATATATGAATCAACCAGTGAATGCATGAATGGGTGGGACAACAAATTGATGTTTCCCTCTCTCCTCCCTTCCTCTCTCTTTCTCTTTCTAAAATCTCTCTCCTCTCTCTAAAATCAATAAATAAAAATAAAAATAATACAATGCATACATGAATAAAAACAAACCTTAGTAAGAAATATACCTAAAGGTGGATAATGGAGATCTCTGGATATTATGATGAGGTTTTTTTTTAATCTTTTCTACATTTATTCACATTAAAAAATATATTATGTATTAACCAGAAAAATTAAGTTACTTCCATTTTGAAAACAATAAGTACACACCTAACATGTCTTCTAAATCTTTCCTTCCCAGATAGTGACATGCCTCCAAATCAGTGGCGTTTCTCTTCTCAGTGGACAAAGCCACAACCAGAAGTACCTTTTGCAAATGGCACCGTCAACTGCATCACCAATGGGTTTGGTCCCATGGCTATGGATCAGTACCCAGTGCCCCTGACTGGGAGTCCCTCTGTTCAGCCTGGTGATCTGTGGCATTTCTCCTCCTTAACCAGCCCAGGATCTCCAGAGCCAGAATATCCTCATGCCTTCTCTGCTGGGCACCTGGTTCCAGAGGCCCAGCCTAATGGGAAATATGAGTCCCTCCTAAATTTCTTCCAGCAAGAGAGATGTGTAGCCTATCCTCAGCAATCTGCCATGTGGGAGAATTGCAACTCCGCCCAGGCAGCCAGAAGCACGGGAATGCCCTTCAACCTGCCTTCCAGCTCAGCCCACTGTAAGTAAATGCTTGCCTCTCATTGGTTGGGGTTGACAGTGAGTTGGCATGAGGTGGGTTGTCAAGACTAATTGCTGCTACTCTGGACATGGAGTTTCTGAGGGACAGAATGCTCTGCTTAAATGTTCCATATATCTTCACTAGGCTTCAATGACATTCACAGTTTAATGAATAAGGGTTACATAGAGAGCCAGTCAGATGAACTTGACCTGGAATATTCATCCAGTCTGTTGACTTGGACTTATCCTAGAAAAACGATGGGTTGCTACCTAAAATTGTAGAGTCTGTATTCACATCACTGTGAGCCACCAAATAATCCATTTGTAAAACAGAACTCGGCGCTATACCTATAAGCTAAAACTCTATTCTTCAAACAGGTTGGCAACTTGCAATGATGTCAGGCTCAGTCAAAAAAAAGGCAATATATACCAGCCATCTGCTCCACACACTAAAATTCAAAGCAACTGTAGAGGCATCCTATTGCTTTCTGGAGACCATCACAGTGCCTGGTTTTCCTTGGAGCCTTGTTCCCTGATCATCACCCATCCTACTGAACTAAAACACTTCTTCACTTACCCACTCATTCAAAAAAATATTTAATTAGTGCCTACTAGATGAAAAAGTCCCATAAAAAAGATTCCTTTCTTTGTAAAAATGTGGGGAAGAATTGGCCCCGGGGTACATTTTCACCAAAAGAGCAACCCACTCTGCTATAAGATTTGCCTTTCACATGAAATACTGAAGATATACACTGAGTGGCTCAATATATACCACGTTCAAAGGCTGTTCAATAGCGTTGTTTACCCATATCTTCAGAAAAAAATCACTTCTACTGTCGTGGTAAACAACCTGCTTCCCTGTTTATAATGGTCTGGCCCTCTAGCAACTTCAGCGTGAAATTATAGCTAATTTGCCTACAAACATCAGGTGGTCATAATAATCTGGCCACTCAGTGTGTGTGTGTGTGTGTGTGTGTGTGTGTGTGTGTGTGTGTTGTGTGTGTGTGTGTGTGTGTGTGTGTATTAGTTATCTGCACTCTGGGTGAATTTTCTTTTATAGTTCTCAAATCCATACATATCTGTGGTTCTAGTGTCCCATGCCTGAAATAAATTGCTAAAAGCTGCCTTTACTCTGAACTAAGTATATAGTACACAAAGAGTCTGTTCAGCATAGTCTTCCTAAGTCAGACCTTGTATTCCATCCTAATGTTGAAAACATTTTCCATTAAGATACCAGTCCATCACTTACAGAGTTTGATTAAAAACGTACATATTTAAAAAGAGTAAATTATAAATGTCATGATTGGGAAACCTATGAAAATTCCCACCCGATACTCTGTCAAAAATCTGTTTCTACTATATTCAGAGGGAAGATTAGGCCAACTGTGTTTGTGTATATGCCAGGGTATATACACAGCAGAGTCCTGTTTCAACAGTTGGTTAGAACACAGATGGCTTAAATTATCGCCTCCCAAACATAACTCTATAGTTCAAATCCAATTCAGCAAATACTTAGTGAGCTTCTACTATAGGCAAAACTAAAAGGCAGGCATATTCTCAAATGTTTGTCACTGCAGTCTTAACTGCTGCAAAGTCTTAGCACTTTTCTGCTAATGTTGACATTAGTCATATTAATTGGTGACTGATGCTTCCAGATCTGTTCAGGAAGTTAGTGACACTTAATCAAAAACACTGCCTAGAAGATGGGGACAAGGCTCAGGGGACCTTAAAAACAGAAGCTTTTCTGTTTTTGTAGCATCTAAGAAAATATGCCAGGTGTCCACAAACCGAGGAGCAAGTGATTTGGAGGTCCTGGGGTACAACTGAGCACTTACTAACCCAGCCCTAGGAATTTCATTTTCAATCATATTTGTTCTTTACTAGGTAAGAAATATTTCCGCCCAGATTGTGGATCTGCCAGTGCCAGCCTTGCAAGTGGAAGTAAGTATGAGGTTCTGCTTTTGATAGTGTGTCTCTGTGTCCTGAGAACAAACTTGAGGAGAAGCTTGTAGTATAAAAACCAAGATTTTTAACAACTGAAAAGACCCTCATTTGTATTATTTAGTATTTTCATAGTTAGAACTTGTTTCATCAGAATCTCAAAGATTCCATGCACTCGGAATCTTATAAAATTCTTGAGCATTTTCTTATTTTGACATAGATGCAACTCTATTGAGTTTTTTAAAAAATCTGAGCTGGATTTAACTGAGTTTACTGAGGTGACCCAGAAAAATGAACAAGTTCATAATATTAGCTTGCTCTGTCCCAGATGTCCAGTTTTCAGTCAAGAACATAGGGCTACTCCAGAACTCTACAGTCAGGGAAATGACACTGGAGACCAAAGGCCAGGACTATGGGCTTCACACTCAATTTGAAAGTGGTGTCAGTAGGAACTTACAAATAAGGACAATCTGGGTGGAATGACATGAGGATTTTTTTAAAAGCCAGTGTAAAGAACTTTCATTGTAATAATAAAACTTGAAACTCATATGTAATGCAGGGGAGGTGGATGGGAAGTAGGCAGCAATAATTTCTTTCACCAAATCACTACACAGGACAACAAAGGAATAAGAGGAGGGGAAAAAAGCCAGGAAACTTTCAGCTCAGCAGGGGGAGGTGAGCATCAAAAAACAGGAGATGCTGAAGCTGTGATGACCAGCATCATTTTCTTAAGACAACACTCAAAGATTTGTCATAATGGCTAGGCTTTCATTGGGTTTTAAGTGTCTATAAACAGCACCTTCAATTTAAACTTTTGATTAAAGTTCTTAAAATTTAGAGAGTGGAGCCTGGATAGCTATGACATAAAAATCCTGAATATATATTAGAAAAAAACAACAACACCGGATTGGGGGTGGGGGGAGAGACAGGACACGAAGAAGGCTTCAGAGGTCTCTGATGGCCCTGAGATATGGATACCTATGGTGTCCAACATCGCAGTGAAAACAATTTGCTTTTAAAAGGCAGAGGGTTTAGGGGAGAGTGGGATGGGACAGTGGAGGCATGGGTTCTCCCCTCCCCACTTCAGTTTTGGGTAGGGCTCTTTTAAAAAAATATTTTATTGATTTTTTACAGAGAGGATGGGAGAGGGATAGAGAGTTAGAAACATCGATCAGCTGCCTCCTGCACACCCCCTACTGGGTATGTGCCCGCAACCAAGGTACATGCCCTTGACTGGAATCGAACCTGGGACCCTTCATTCCGCAGGCTGGCACTCTATCCACTGAGCCAAACCAGTAGGGCTTGGGTAGGACTCTTAATTCAACCCAAAGACATCTCTCAACTTGGAGATAATTTGGCCCTCAACAGTGCCTCAAGTCTGCTATGGCTTTGCAGGGCAGCAGTAAGAATGTTTAATATATAATAGATAAAAATTTCATCCAAAAAAATAAAATAAAGATTCTTGCATCCTCCCCACACCAATTCCTAGTCTAAAGTCAACCCATTACTTGTGCAGTTAATACTTGAGTAATATGTAATTGGAAACCTAGATCCAAAAGACTGAAACTGAATCTTCACCCCAAAACAAAAAAGAGTAACTTGAGGTTTATGGCAAGTAATTTAGGTCAACACACATACGAAGAGAAAGGGGAAGAGCAAAGCTGGGTGACAGAACACATTCAGTCGGAGCAGATGTTTATACAAAGTGTAGTGGAACATCAGGAAAAGCTCTGCACAGATTCGCGTGTGCGCGTTGGGGGTGCCAGATCCCTCCATGGCACATCCAAGCACAGGGAGCTCAGGGAGTAGGCCATTCCTGTCATTCCAGTTTTAGAAGTTCTACGTCAAAGAGAGTGGCATTGGGTGGGATGATGCCTTGGTGCCCAGTGGCACCATAGGCATAGTCTGGGGAGATCGTTTGGCTCTCTGACCCACACTCATGTGGGCAACCTCTTCCCAGCCTTGGATAACCTCCTGCCTGCCTAGCATAAACTTAAAGGGCTTGTTTCTGTCCTGGGAGGAATCAAATTTCTTTCCATCTTCAAGCATTTCCACGTAGTGCACGAGGCAGATCTGACCATGCTTTGGGAAGGTGCGCCCCTCTCCACCTGCACTCCCATAGCAGCGGGCGGGCTGTGGTGGCAGGCGCGGGTTGGGTGAGCAGTGCAATTGACGTCAGCGGCTGGACTGAGAGCAGACCTGGAGACTGAGGCTTTGCCTCCTCCCTCTGCGCGATGCCTCAACATGAGGATCTTCATGGCCTGGGTACAAATGTGGCTTTATTACTTACTATTTCAGGAACTTGGTTCCATTTCTTAACCTCTCCATACCTCAGTTGCCTTCTTTGTAAAATGAGGATTAAAATAGTGCCCACCTCAGGGTTCCTGTGAAGATAAAATGATAATATATGTAAACGATTTGAATTTATATCCTAATGTAAATTAGCCATAGTAAGCCACGAAACACACACACACACAACACACAGCATCTTGTATGCCAAAAGCTGTGCTTCATGCTGTGTTTGAGAGGAACAAAAGGAACAGCTACCACCATGGCACCTGATCTCAGGCACTTTACAGTCTAATGTGAAGTAGGTGGGGAGGCGGGGGGCAACATATAGGCCGTACTAGAATGTCAGTTCCTTGAGGGCAGAGACTTTGAGGGGTGTGCCGCCATATCCACATCGCCAGCACCTGCAATATTGTCTAGCACAGAGGTCAATGCATATTTTATGAATGAGTGAATGCTGGAAACAATAAAAACATTGATAAGGGAAATGGTACAAATATATTTGCCAATGTAGTTCAAATTATTTTGTTTGAAGCCCTTGTTTGAGAGTAACAAATAAACAAGCCACAAACCACCCTGAGTGATTAATTGTACATGCCCAAATGAGGAGATGGATTTAGGGCTAGTTCAAGAGCCTTAGCATGGCTGAGTCAGGTTTTGTATCAGTCTCTGCCCAAGGGAGTTAGCTCTGCTGGGCTTCTAATTAATGAAGTCAGGATTATAAAGTCTCCTAAATACTTGTTAATAATTTATACATTTTTAAATTATATTAAATTGTAAGCCTTAGAATTATTGAAAACTTGAGATGTTAAATTGTTCTAGGCCAAAAATAATAACAACATGTATGGGTAGTGACTATGAGACAGATACCCCACACACCATCCTGCTCAATCTTCACAATAACCTCATGATAGGCATATGAGTGTATCTTAGGCACTTTACACATTAGGTTTTCAGTAAATAGGGATTGAACAAATGAATAAATATTCCCATTTTATAAATGAAAAGACTGAGTTTCAAACGGGTGAAAAGACTTGCTTTAATATCACAGCAAGCAGCAGAGGTATCTCTGCTTTCACAGTGTCAAAATATGATCAAAATCATAAATTACAATAAATAAATAATAAAAAAGAATTTCAACTTAAATCAAGTATGTCAACAGTAAAAATTAGCAACTGGTAAGATTGTTTTACTGTATATGGGTTCACTGTCTATCTGTGGCCAGGACACTATCCTAGAATAAGCAGAGGGATGTAAAAGGCTTGGAAAGCATTCAAAGGAGCAATATTACCTTAGGAAAGGGGCAGGGAATGTGCTTTCATGTGGAGAGTGGTTAAGGAGAGGTGACTATTCTGCCACTTTGGCTCTGAGCAGAGGGAGGCAGAAGAGCATGACAACTGTGAAGGGGGCAACTTAGGGCTCTGAATAAAAGGATCAGGGAACACAGAAAGCCCATGATGCATGCGCTTAGTCAGTCTCCCAGTCTTGCCTGATGGTGAGAACCACAGGGAGGGAGTTTGTGAAATGCAGACTCTGCACCCTCACTTTTTGGTTTGATATACTTGGCGTGGAACTCAGTTGCCTCTGTATGTTTGATTATATATATATATATATATATATATATATATATATATATATATTTAAATATATTTTATTGATTTTTTTACAGAGAGGAAGGGAGAGGGATAGAGAGTTAGAAACATCGATGAGAAAGTAACATCGATCAGCTGCCTCCTGCACACCCCCTACTGGGGATGTGCTCGCAACCAAGGTACATGCCCTTGACCGGAATCGAACCTGGGACCCTTCAGTCTGCAGGCCAACGCTCTATCCACTGAGCCAAACCGGTTAGGGCGATTATATATATTTTATATTAACTTGATTTCAAAGTGAACTGGATGAACCTTTCAGGAGGAATTTGGTCGTTCTGAAAGATTTCCTATGTGAGGCCCCAGATAAATTTTTGTCAAAAGAAGGAAGGCAGTCTCCTCCTGTCCTTCCAAAATGGCCTAGTCCCCACATGTGGGCTGTCAGGTACCTCAGAAGCAGTGACCATGTGGAAGAGAAGAGCAATCAGCCAGAAGGGTAGTCAGATTTTCTCAAGGTGATTTAAAAACTTTGGTGCCAAAATTTTTAGTGAATTTTATTTTTTTCATTTGTAGAAATAACACTGGATGTATATAGCTTCTATGTCCACAGATAATAATAGCATTGGTATTGCTATTTGCCAGACTATATATGAATAAAACTGTCTTGGTCTCTCTCCTTATAGAGTCTAGTGGGAAAGGCAACCCCTCCTCCAATAAAAGGAAAAATAACAAATTTGTAAGTTATGACTAAGTGCAGTGAAGGAACATACAAGATGTTGAAATAGGGAAAGATGGGGGCCGACTTTGGATAAAGTGGTCAAAGAAGACTTCTTGGAGGAGGTGACATGTGAACAGAGGCCTGAAAGAAGTGAAGGAGCCAGCTTTAGGAAGAGTTGGGGTAGAGATGGAGGAAGGTTGAGTAAGCTGCCCCTTGCAAAGACCCAGAAGTATGAGAGGAATGGGTGAAAGATCAGTGTGGCCAGTGTAGTGAGAAGCAGAGTAACACAAAAGCAGGCTGGAGAGGTAGACAGGGACCAGATGACAGAGGGTCTTATGGGTCATTTTGAGAATTTGGATTTTATATTCTAAGTGATTTGGTGAGCCCTGAAAGACGCTTATTAAATCCAATGTCCATTTAATGAGGTCACAAAAGCTGTGGTAGAGAAGATAGATTGAAGAAAGGCAAGAATGAAAATAGACCAGTTTGGAGGCAAGAAGCATGAGAAGATGATAACCTGGATTAGATTGTAGGAGTGGAGATAGAAGTATATGTCTTTGATATCTATTTGGGAGGTTTAGCTCTTAGGATTTGCTAATGCTCTGGATGAGAGTGGCAAGGAAAAGGGAAGAATCCAGATTAGCTCTTTGGTTTACTGTTTGAGCAAGTAGGTAGATTAGTGGTACAAAATGGATCAAATAATATCAAAATGAGGAAGACTGTAGGAGACACAACTGTGTTGTGACCCTGTAATGTCTGAGGTGCCTATAAAGTACCCAAGTGGATGTATCTTTTATTTTTATTTTTATTTTTTTTAATATATTTTATTGATTTTTTACTGAGAGGAAGGGAGAGAGAGATAGAGAGTTAGAAACATCAATGGGAGAGAAACATCGATCAGCCGCCTCCTGCACACTCCCTACTGGGGATGTGCCCGCAACCCAGGTACATGCCCTTGACCGGAATCAAACCTGGGACTTTTCAGTCCGCAGGCGTCGGCTCTACCAAGTGGATGTATCTTTTAAATAGTTGTATATGTAAGTATGGAGTTCAGAAGGGAACTCAGTAAATTTCTGAGATTGTTTGGTATATAAATGACATTTAAATCCATTGAATGGTCCCCTAGGAAGAGAGTGTAGATACAGAAGAAAAAAGGGCAGAAGACAGTTCTGGAATGTGCCAATATTTAGAGGTTGGGAACCCAAGAAACAAAAAAAGGATATGACAAGGAGCAGTAAGTGTGTGAGAAGGAGAACCAGGAGAGTGCGGTATTAAAAAAACTAAAAGAAGATAATTCAAAACAGAGATTGATCAACTGTATCAAAGGCTTCTGAGAGATAAAATAAGAGAAGGGTAGATAAATGTCTATTGGATGTGGCATCAGAGATTTTGATAACCTTGTTAAGGGCAATTTTTGTTATGTGATATGTACAGAAACCAGATTGGAGTGGGTTGAAGAGTGAATGGGAGATGAGAAAGGGGAGACACTAGTGCCAGCAACTTCTTAGAGAAGTTTAGCATTGAGGGGGTAAATAGAAATGAGGTAGTAGCTAAAGAGACTAGTGGTGTAGGGGGGGATTTTTTAAAGGCAAATATTAGAACCTATTTGTATGGTAATGGGAAAGATCCAACAAAGATGAGGAGTTCGATGACGGAGGCGAATGAGGATAACTTCATGGGTGAGGTCATGGAGGAGATCTAAGGGACATAAGGAAGCATTGCCATTTGCTAGGAAGAGAGAACATTCTACTGTTGAAAGTGTACCAAAAAAAAAAAATAAATAAAGATATAGGTACAAATATATTTATAGGCTTGTTTGTAGGGAATCTATAAGGTACTAATCAAATAATTTATATTTTCTCCTTCAACTATGGGACAAGATCATCAGCTAAGACTGAGAATGTGTGATATTGGGCACTGGGAAAGCAAGCCTTCTGGTAGACAGATATGAGCAGGATTTCTGAGTGCTAATCTCAAGTCTGAGATCATGAGTTTCATGTGGAAACAGTTAGCTGGGTTGTGTGATTTTCACCAGTGTTGTTACATTAGTGTAATGCACAGAGAAGGCAAATTGTGAGGCTCAGCCAGGGTTAAGGTTTTGGCAAGTGAGTATGATGGATCAAGAAAGAGGAAAAGGAGTCTAGGGTATTACAAGTGAGTGATTATCACAAGGGACCATTGTGTCTAAGCTGCACAAAGAAGGAAACAGACAGATGGAGGGTAATGGGTGGTGGAGGTTGATGGAATGGAGGATTAGATTATGTAAAAATGCAGTAATAAGACTAAGCCAATGAAATGGGAAGTGGTGGTTGGAGAGTAGATGTTTGAAATTGAGATGACAAGGGTACCATCTGTATAGATGATGACAAAGTCTAGTATGTGACTATGGGAATGTCTGACTGAGGTAAAGTAAAAGGTCATCAGGGATGAGGAGAATGACAAGAATCACAGAAGTGAAGCAAAATAAGAACCAATATCTACCTATAATGGAAGTGCTATTATTATGCAGTTAACAGATAGAAAAATTGAGGTTTACATAGGTTAAGTAACTTGCCCAAAGTCAAGGTGAGTAAATGCCAGAGTCAACTTTTTCTGACTTCAAAAGTCTTGGCCTTATCCAGTAAGCTTAAGCTGTAGTGTGACCACAAATTCCTTTACTACAAATAAAGACATTGCCTCTTTAACAAAATAATAGCTAACATTTACTGAGCATATATATATGCCAAGCACTGTTCTAAGGGCCTTACATGTGTTTAACTCACTTAATCCTTCCAGAATCTTAAGAGGCAGGTATCATTAGTACTCACATTTAACAAATGGGGTAAGTGGAGTTCAGATAGCCCCTAGGTTAACTTGCCCAACGTCACACAGCTAGGCAGTGGTGAGGTCAAGGTTCAAACCTGTATTCATTTAACCCCCAGAACCAGCTTCTTTCTCATCATGCTTATCTTGTTTTTCAGAAAGCCAGTCTCCAGAGAGAAGAAAAGATTTGTTCTTTTATTGAACTTCAGTTTAAAGAAAAGAATTCCTTTTTCCAAACCTGCTCATGATTTTCTACTGTGAAACCAGAGGATCTAAATACAACACGGTCCTTTTCTCTTTTTGTCACTAAAGAGCACAGAGTCTAGAGCAAGTTTCCTTTCTCCCTAAAATTGTACACTTCTCTTCCTTTGCACCTATGCTCTATGGCAGGGGTTTTAAAATTTGTTAAGTGATTCCCCAGCACATAAAATCATTAGAAAAGCTATTCAGGGATGGGAAGCATGGAGGCCCACCTGCTTGCTCATCCTACCCTGCCACTGCACCACTGCTCTCCTACTTAGAAATCATAGTATGCTTACTCTCTACCAGAAGGATCTTTCAAACCAAGACAGACAATGGGGTATTCTACGAGGTTGTCCCACTTTTCCAATTGAATAGAGATACCAGGATCAGTATTAAGCTTTCCAACCTTAACCAGACTGTGATCAGCTTCACGCCTACCTTTACCAAAATCAAAATGAAAAAATGGGGTGGGCAAGGTAATGGGTTGAGGCTGTCCATTCCGTGCATCCTCAAAGTCTAGACGAAAACTGAAAAGGTCTCAGGCTGACCTTGATGAATGAAATAGTTTCACTTGGAAATTTGGATTCCTCACTTCTAAAAAAGTGATTCCTACTGGAATTGCTGAGAAATCCGAGGACTAACTTATTGAAGTTAGTTAGCAAACTGCCTCATTCCAAGTTGGACCTAGAGTAAGTTTTGTATCCCAAGCATTTCTTAGCCTCAGTTCCATGAGTTCCTGTCTGCCCTCAGTCTGAGGGTGAGGACTCTGGCATCTGATACTCCACAGGTATTTATTTGGACCTTGGCGGCACCTTGCAGCTTTCCACAGGGGCCAACCTAATTTACATAAACAACGTAACATTTCCTTTAGCTCTTTCACTGTAAGTGACATCTGGGAAAATTAACTTTTTTTCAGCACAGAACCTTTGGGGCCACCCATGTAAATAACACACAGTATCTTAGATGAATTAGAGGTGAAAGGAAATGGTTGGTCCAAGACATAGCAGCAAGACCTCCCTGCAGATTGTTCCTAGTAAAATGACAAATTTCTCTAAACTCATTAATCTCTCTAACGTAGTAGACAACCTTGCGTCCACTGTGAGCTTGATACTTAACATATGACAACCCTGGAAGCCCCTGCAGTCAATGTTCCCCATTCACACTCCACTTGTTCCTTTGTACTGCTTAGAGGGTAAATAATAAAACTTCAGTTTTCTGAATTGTGCTGTTCTTTTTTTAAAAATATATTTTTATTGATTTCAGAGAGGGAGAGAAAAATAGAAAATGATGAACAAAATAGACCCAGAGACATAGAAGCATGGAACAGACTGATGAATCTCAGGGTGGGGGGTGTGTGGGGAGATTAATGGGGGAATTTATATGCATATATGCCTAGCCCATAGACACAGACAATAGTGTGTTGAAGGCCTGGGAGGGGTGGGTGCAGGGTGAAGAGGATCAGTGGAAAAAGGGGAGGCATTGTAATATTTTCAACAATAAAGATACATTTACAAAACATAGATGTGCCCCACTTTATTAAAAAGTTCAATATGTAAAAATCTTTAAAAACACAAATATCAATGATTAGAGAAAATCATTGATTGGCTGCCTCCTGCTTGGCCTGTACTGGGGATTGAGCCCAAAACCTGGGTATGTGCCCTGACCGGGAATCAAACCATGACCTCTTGGTTCATAGGTCAATGCTCAACCACTGAGCAACACCAGCTGGGCTGGATTACACTTAATTCTAAATTCTTTCACATCCATGATCTTATGCAAAGTTTCCAATAACCCTGGGATTGGCATTATTATCTTCACATAGTACATGTGGATACTGAGAGTCAGAGTTGATAAATGGCTTGCCAAGATCTCATAGCCAGGAGTAGTGCCAGTGCTGAAGACATGTCTGACCTCAGAGCTCTTTTCTCTCTAACACAGTGGTTCTCAACCTTAGCTGCACATTAGAATCACCTGGGAATCTTTTTAAAATCCTGATTTCTGGGCCTTATCCTCCGGAAATTCTGTTTCTTTGTTACTAATGTTGTGGCCTCAACCCATAACAAAGAAACAGAATTTCCGGAGGATGAGGCCCAGAAATCAGGATTTTAAAAAGATTCCCAGGTGATTCTAATGTGCAGTCAAGGTTGAGAACCACTGCGTCTAACATAATACTTATCAACATCAGAATGACTCTAAGATATTTTTTCTCCCATCTGCTATATATTTATTGACCACAGCTCTTGTGTGCATGAATCATTGACTTGGGTAGTAATACAGTAATTCTGTCTCAAGAACAGTTTTTCCAGTGTGTTACATGTTTCCTAGATTAGTTTAAAAAATAAAAAAAATTACCCAGTACATTTTCTCTCAAAAGTTATTTACCTTCAAGCCCAGCTGGCATGTATCAGTGGTTTAGCATGGACCTATGAACCAGGAGGTCAGGGTTCTATTCCTGGTCAGGGCACATGCCTGGGTTGCAGGCTCAATCCCCATAGGGGGCGTGCATGAGACAACCAATCAATGATTCTCATCATTGATGTTTCTCTCTCTCTCTCTCTCTCTCTCTCTCTCTCTCTCTCTCTCTCACTCTCTCCCCCTTTCTCTGTGAAATAAATTAAAAAAAAACATATATTTTAAAAATTCATGCTCTGGTTGGGAAAATTCAGGGTGGAGGCTGATTCTAGCACTTGTTACACATAATTTATATAGATGTGTGCTTATCTTGTCTCACTCTAGAAAGACTCATCTGTATTAGAAGACAGCATGTACCATCAGTATTGAACTCTTAATATGCTATTTAGGGAAAAGAAGTGATTCCATAAAGACTGTCACCTTATGTAGCCCAGGTAGTCTGATAACACTTTCCTACAGATCACTCAGTCTGGAAACTCTTGCATAAAGCTGAAAGCAGTAATCAATTTTTCCACTTTAATAAGCAGGAAAGAAAAGGTCTTTGGTCTCTGAGAGATCCTTGACATACATAGGTAAATCCCTGCCCAGATCAACTCCAACTTAAAATCCAAGATTTAGCCCTGGCCGGCTTGGCTCAGTGGATAGAGCATCCGCCTGCAGACTGAAGTGTCTCAGGTTTGATTCCTGTCACAGGGGACATGCCCAGGTTGTGGGCTCTATCCCCAGTGGGAAGCATGCAGGAGGCAGCCGATCAATGATTCTCTCTCACCATTGATGTTTCTATATCTCTCTCCCTCTCCCTTTCTGAAATCAATAAAAATGTATTTAAAAAATAAAAAATAAAATCCAAGATTTAGATTTCTGGCTTTATATCCATCCTTTATTTCCCTTTCCCAACTCACTTCCAAAAAGCTAACCTGAAAAGCATTTCTTTGAGCCACTTGGGCATTTTACTCTTCAATGAAAAGTGCATACAAGATGTGTGCCACCTTTCACACAAAGGCTGGCCCCTGTGTGCTTGCATGGCTTCATCCACATACCTAGTTGATAATCCTGTGAGAGTCTAGTTGAAGGGGGATGTGGAATTTACAGATTGATCAAGGTTTTAAAATTGAAAATGATCAAGGTTTGAAACAGGAAGGTTAGGGCCCAATCGGGGTAGAGCACGTAAACCTCATTTACATCTTTCTCTACAGTTTTGAGAAACTGACAAGTGGATTGATAGACTGAGTCACCATCTGCAGGACCCCTCCCCCACACTCCTTACCACCACCTCCTAACCCCCCAGGCCCACCATTTCTGAACTTTACAGTCTGGAAGAATGAAGATTGCTTTATATGGGCTGATTCACATGCTTGAAGAATTCCTGTCCTGAAAAAGAGAAAAAAAAAGGTGACAATTTTCCTTTTCTGGTAGCAGACTGTCTTTAGCATTCCAAATAAAATGTTTGCAGATCCAATTGAGACCTGTGTTTAAGCATTTCCATTCTAAAAATTAGTATCACTGAAAATAAAATTATTCCTCCACAAAAAATGCTAACTAGAATATAATAGTTATCTTTCTGCCATATAAACAAGAACCTCTGCCCTTTTCATCATTGTTTCCCTGGCTTGACAGAATTGAAATTTTTTTTTAAAATATATTTTATTGAATTTTTACAGAGAGGAAGGGAGAGAGAGAGAGAGTTAGAAACATCGATGAGAGAGAAACATCGATCAGCTGCCCCCTGCACATCTCCTACTGGGGATGTGCCCGCAACCCAGGCACATGCCCTTGACTGGAATCGAACCTGGGACCTTTCAGTCCGCAGGCTGATGCTTTATCCACTGAGCCAAACCGGTTTCGGCCAGAATTGAAAATTTTCCCCAAACATTTGTATTTTCAAAATGTGAAGCAATAATGCAATGGTCTATTTAAATTCCTTTAATGTGTAAGATTTTAAAATAGCATGCTGTTGAATTTTTATAGACTAGTGGTGATTACAGAAATGAACTGGGCAATATAGCATTTTCATAAGGATTGCAGTTTTATCACCATTTCTTCGCAAATTTAAGACAAATTAAGCCTCAAAGATCCTCTCAACGATAAGTTTTGTTATTTTTTTTCCTTCATTTTAATGATTCTGCATGCTTGGAGTCAAGTTGAGACTATTTGGAGTAGTTACAGTTACTTTTTAGGTGAAAACTGACCCTCCACTTATTTTTCAAAATGAGCAGTGTTTTCTTTTCTTTTTTTTTTTTAATATATTTTATTGATTTTTTACAGAGAGGAAAGGAGAGGGACAGAGAGTTAGAAACATCAATGAGAGAAATATCGATCAGCTGCCTCCTGCACACCCCCTACTGGGGATGTGTCCGCAGCCAAGGTACATGCCCTTGACCGGAATCGAACCTGGGACCTTTCAGTCCGCAGGCTGACGCTCTATCCACTGAGCCAAACCAGTTACGGCCGAGCAGTGTTTTCTTATTGCTACTGCAAATCTGAACTGAGAGTTAGGACACCTGAGTTCCAGTCCTGGCTCTGACTAGCTAGCTGTGTCATCTTGAATGAGACACACACACACACACACACACACACACACACACACACACACACACACTTTATCTGTAATATGAGATGATCCCTAACATCATTACCAGCTCTAATAGCCTATATTTTGAATTAAATATAATAGTTATGACAAGACCTATCAGCAGTTGCCATACTGGGGCTAAATGAAGAGGACAGGGTCTGGACAACTGAAGAATAGAAGAACAAACTGGCAGCCAAGGATCTGCCAATCAGCTGCAAGGAGTGCAGTTAGTCAAGTGCCTTCATCTATTAGTAATACCTTAGGATCTGCTTAGGCCATGCTCTATGTGGAGAGGCTCCAGCCAGTGATTCAGCATTATAAGTGTACTAAGGCCTAGCCATTTCTGCCCAACATGGTACTCCTCTACTGGGCAATATTTGATCCAGATTTCATGTTGAATTGTTTGAGACTTTGTCAGATTTGCATCATGGTTTGAGTTTTTCCCCCCTGCTCAATTCTGCTTCCTCCCCATTTTATCTTTCATAGGTGTTACCCACCAAGCTTCCATACCTCTCATATCCCTAACTCTCAGTACTTGCTTCCTGGAGGACCCAGCTGACAAACATATAGCAGTATTTTAGGGGCAGACACAAAAGGAAATCTCAAGACTCATGGAATAGATGGTAATTAGACTAGTCCCGCTGGAGTGGAGCATTCAGGTCAACAAGCAGTTGAAAATCAAGCTGGGAAAAAAAAAGATAATCAAGCTGAAAAGATAGGTTGAGGAGTCAGATTAGTGAGGTTAATTGACAATGTCACACGGACGTATAGTTAAGGTTGGTGCCAGATTGGAGCCCCAGGTCATCCCAGCCACATCTTAAATCACTTACCAGGCCAGCAATTGGCTGTCTACATAAACAGAAGATGGCTACTTCTGTAGCCTATGTGATGTACCTATATCAATGATTCCCAAAAGGCCCCCTGGATGCATCATTAACAGCTGGGGAGCTTGGTGAAAATGGATACTCCTCAGTTCTGCCTTAGGCTTACTGAATGGGAGTCTCTGAGGATAAGAAACACTATCTCCCACTTTTCTTTGGCTGGAACCACCATTTTCCAGTAATTCGCCAAAATAACTAACACAAAGGGAAAGAGGAGAGGCACCCACTACGTGTTCTCTAGGTCTTTCAGAAAACATGGACTTGTTCCTTTGGCCACATAAATGCAAATATACAAGAAAGGTGATATTGTGGACATCAAGGGAATGGGCACTGTTCAAAAAGGAA